ATCATTATTTGAAATTAAAAATATATATATAATCAGGGTGCTCAAGCTGTTCTTTTCCAACCTGCTAGAGATTTCCTTCCTATAATCGACGAGGTAATTAGCTTTTGAATTATTAATTCAATTATTCTCTAATAGATAATTTTTTTTTTAAATAAAAAAAAATATTTTTATTTAAAAAAAATAAAATAAATTTTTAAGGAAATTATAAAATTTCAGGTTTACAAATCACTGTTGGAGGTGACAAAGGACACCCCAGGCGCTAGGGTGGAAAATAACAAATTTTGTCTCTCTGTGCACTTCCGTTGTGTTGATGAGAAGGTATAATAATAATGATTTTTGTTTACAATTTTGTCGGACTTTGTAACTGTTAGGTACATCATCATGTAATCGTCGAGATAGTTGATCTAATGATTACAAACCTCGACAGAATGATTCCATTACCGTGTTGTAGTAGCATGTCCCGGTTATATAATATTAAGAATTACTATGTTTTAAAATCTACAGAGATGGATCGAACTAGCTAAGAAAGTTGAATCAGTAATTCAAGGTTACCCAGACCTCCGATTGACAGAAGGAAGAAAGGTACATTTTTTATTTATATATATATATATATATATATATATTTTTTTTTGCTTAATTAATTAATTAATTAATTTATCATGAGAAGCTTATATAATATTGTTTTGGAAGTTTATAACTACTTTTTCCAATAATTGAAAAAATAAAAAAATCCCACAAAAATTTTAGGAAGGGTACAACTATTTAAGGTGGACACATACGACAAGCTATAATGGGTTGTACGTTTAAAGCAATAAATACATCAAATGTACTTTTGCAAGAAAATTTTTGTTTTGTAGCCATAAAAAGTAGTTTGTCTGGATTGTAATTTGTGGAGTGTTGTTATTAACCAATGCAATGCAATGCAGGTGTTTGAAATACGCCCCACCATTAAGTGGGACAAAGGCAAGGCTCTTGAGTTTCTTTTGGAATCACTTGGTAAGTACTAAGTACAATGATTTTATTAAATTAATGTGCTCCGAAAAAGTAATATTTAAGCTTTAATCTCACTCCATAGGCTATGCCAACTGCACCGATGTTTTTCCGGTCTACATTGGAGATGATCGAACGGACGAAGATGCATTCAAGGTATACAATTTTGCTAAGGAACCAGATGGTTAGTTTCTTTATGGAACCAATCACCAATGGGACAGCTCCACATTGGTGGTTGGTTCTATAAGGAAACCAACCATCTGGTTTATATATATATTGAATTTGTACTATGTTTGGACACATAATTTTGATTTGTCTTAATTGTGTGATTAGGTGCTAAGAGAGAGAGGTCAAGGTATTGGAATTCTTGTTTCGAAGACTCCGAAAGACACGAACGCGTCATATTCGTTGCAAGAA